TTTTTGGTTGATTGATCGAGTTTAGAGGGGTTTTTTCTGGAGTTGTGTATAGGATTTGAATGTGGGTGTTTCATTTATGTACTTCAATTGTAATGATATTGGTGTCACTTTTGGAATGTGAATTAACTGGACTTAAATTTCAGGGATTTCTTTTTCTAATCCCTTTTTGTTTTATAATGATCAATTCAGTTTTGAAGTCGATGAAAATACTTCCATTAATGATTGTATATATTTCCATTGAGCTTATTTGTTTTGTTGTTGAATTATCAATTGCAGGTTGAAATGTTGGAAAGAAAATTGAGAGGCTATCAAAGGGCATGTTTCATGTAATGATGGAAAAAGAGTATGAATAATTTTGTTTAGCTTGAACATTTGTTGTTTTTCATAATCACTTTTCTTTTTCTAATAGATTTGCTGATCACACCAAGGTATTTTGTATGTTTTCATGGATTTGAAAGAATTTATGTTGTATTTTGGATTTGTGTTTAATTTGGATTTTGTATGGTGTTAAATATAAGAAATAGCAATGTATTTTTATTGATTTCTCTATTATAGAATCATTAATTTCACTTTTTCCTATTAGAGAATTGTATTTTATGAACATAAACATTAAATTCAACAAAAAAAATACAAAGGGTAAAATGGTCATTTTTGTGATTCAGCATAGCAATTCAGAGGTTCCAACCAAACAACTTATTAAAAATTCAGATCTTAAAAATTCAGACCTTCTTAGAAATTCAGACCTCTTAAAAATTCAGAGCTTAAAAGTTCAGATCCTGCCAAACAGCCCCTTAATCAGTCAAAATTGAATTAGTATTTCCTCATATTATTCAGCCGATTGAATCGGTCAATGGAAGATATACTCTATATGGCATCTCCTCCCTCATTTCGGTCGCCATAGTGTTGCCTTCAACCACTCACGATCGCCATCTCTCTCTAAAAATACCCTAAAATCCATAACCACGCTGCCATCCCTCTATTTCTGTCGAGAAAAAATCACCTTAAACCCTAAATGACGTTGTCTTCTCCACCACCATCATTGATATTATAGACTACATCTTTTTTTCTTATTTATGTTTTATTTGGATTTTCAGGACTCAAGAGACGATGCACGACCATCACCGCCCTCTGTTCCGGTCGTAATCCTCCAAGTATGATTTTACATAATCTTCCGATCACCTTCTTCCTCTCTATTTTCTTCACATGTTTCGGTCACCACCACACACCACCCTGTTGTCTGTTTAAAAATTGTAGACACTACCCTAATGCAAATAAGCTTTTAGCCTATTTTGTGAAGTGTTTGTTTGTTTTTGTAGTTGTTTTGTTTTGAAGAACTAGGCAAGGCACCCCATGTGTTCGATGGAATGCCCCAAATAAGATGCACATACTTAATATGCTCCATCTCTTCTCATTCTCATGCTCATGGTAGGATTATTGATGGGTATACATATACTTCGATTATGTTTTCTTCTTTTTGGTAACTTTGAGTTCTAACAGTTTCAACTATTTTGCTTCCCATTTGTTTTTTTTTACTCTTTTGAGAAGGACTTCAAAAAAGAGTTACAAATGTTTCTCAATCTCTGGAAGTAATTTTCTGGAAGTAATTTTTTTAGAGAGGATACATATCTTATATATTCCATGCACATCTAAAAAGAATTCAAAATAACAGGCTGGTGAGAATGCCCTTTGTAGCATGGTTGATGAAAATTTTACATCACATGCTTTATATATGTTGATATCCATAAAAATTCTAAATAATCAAAAAAAATTATTGAAGTTTTATTACTTATCAGTTATCATACTCTATATATAAGGTTATTTGTAGAAACAATGTGGTATACCCAAATAAAATTCATTTTATTATGTTGATGTTCATATCAGTACTTGATCAGTATTTTTTGCAATTAGGTTATTTCATAATGCAATTAACAGGTTTTCTTAGGGGATTTCGGAAGGGAGATATTGAGATTCTAATATTTTGTTGGGATTCAAAGTTGGAGGTTGATATGCTTTCTGGTTGAATACCCTGACAATGAAATTCTAACTATTTTTCTTGCTATGTTCAACACTTCAAATTGTTTAAAAAAAAACAAAAACAAAAAACAAAACAAAACAAAAAAGAGTTAACGATATTTTCGGTTCAAAGCGTTTAGTTGTTCATTTATATTTTTATTATAAGTTAGCATCTTACTTTCATTTTTTCCCTTTTTTTTTTAGATTCCTAAGACAAATAGAAATATTGTTATATGTTACATTTAGTTGTTTTCATGTGTGACTAGGCTAGAAGTCAAAGAAAGGGTCCACCTCATTTTGGACTTGAGGAGTAGTTAATTCTTTTTTGGTTGTTTGTATGTGTTTACAATGAGTGTAGAAGAAAGTATTGTTGTTATGTGTTAAGGATATGTCGCAGAAGAAAAATCTTTGGGTTTTGAGGAAATAATGCCAATATATTGTATAAAGACACTACCACAAGTATGGTTTGCACGCAATGGATCCATACTACAAAAATGTATTTTCTACATATGAAATGGAACCTTGCCATCGTTAAAAGCATTTGGAATCGAACAACATATTATAAAAGTAATATCCATCCATATTACAAAAATGAAGAGTGTAGGAATAGCTTCTAACAAATTAGTTTTACCTCAATTATTTTGTTATTTGATTTGTTTTATAGTAATATATTTTTTTATTATGGACATTGAATGCATTAGGAAGGTTTAAATTTCATTTTATTATTAACACTTTTATTTTAACAGTTAGATAGAATGCATATATTTTTTTGGGCTTTAAAAATAACACGAATTAATTGTTTCGGTAACAGTTACATTAGGTTAGTAACAGATATATAAACTTTTAGATAATTTTTTAATAAATTATTTATAATTTAATAAAATAAGTAAATTATATCTCATTTGTTATCCAAACATTGAGCCAATCATGTATGCTTTATTGCAGTCGCATTTAACGTTAGCCACTAGAATACTAAGGTACTTAAAATGTAATCTTTGAAAATGGATTATTATTAACAAGTCTTGTAACTTGAGGTTAGTGGCACACATGGATGTTGGCGGGTTAAATGTGTTGGCACTAGAAGGTCGGTTACCAATACAACTATTTGTGTGGGAAGCTAAGATTGTGTTAAAAAAAATGGTTTAGCTGATTTTCAAACCCTTAACATCTTAAAATGGATAAATTGTTATATATTTGTGTTCTCCTTTATGATACATTCGTTTTGCTATATAACTCCTTCAAAACGAATTTATACCAAAACGAATTATGGTGAACGAGAAATTAATATCTAGAGTTAGGTAGTTGGATGAATTAGGAAAAAATGGGGTAACATACATATATGGAAGGGACCAATGATGCAAAAGATGATGATAGTTGACAGTAAAGGAATGACTAAAGTACTCTTATATGCAATGCACATGTCCAATTTGACCGGTAAAGAAAAGACTAAAATACTCTTAAAATTTAATACTTTATGGTTAGACTAACGATTTAATTGACCACATGATTAACAAAAAGGAGTCATGGAGATGTTTTTGAGAAAAAAAATCAAAACGTTGACCAAGCTAACACATGGATCAAATTTGTAATTTCCTTCATATATTTCTATTTGTTTAAAGTTTTCTTTTTTGAAAAAAAAAATATATTGTAGCAAATAATATGTTATCAATATGATATACAAGCAAATTATATATGTTTCTTTTAATTTAATTACAACACTCATAAAAAATGTTTACACATGAATCTCCAAATAAATAGACACAAATACTTCTTTTATCAATATATATATATATATATATATATATATATATATATATATATATATATATATATATATATACAAGTTATTGGACTGGGCCCGTCACCAACCAGTCTAAATCCATATAAAAAATTAACTGGAATGGGCTTTTTGAACCAGAACGGAGACAAGTTTGATTTTTGTTTTTCAAGACTTTGATGCTAATAATAACTGAATTAACAAAAAAATGTTGAAACAGATTTATTGGCTTATTGTTTGATAAAATTTTGGAAACATTTTGTATTTACGATTAATTATTTAATTAAGTCGATGCGCAACTTTGAGTTACATGAGCAAAAAAAATACTCCAAGAATCTTTTATTGTGTTGTACAGTACAATCTAGTGATGCACTTGGCTTTCTGGTGCATTAAATGCGTAAAAATAATAAAAATTAATCCTATTGTAACTTCGTAAGCACTAAAAATACAAATCAACAGCCGAATAAACACACATACACATATTTACATATTAAGGCCCGAAATTAACTCAAAAACCTCATAAATCCTGGAAAAAAAAAGACACATCTACAGTTCATATAATGAATGCTAAATATTAGTTGGGCTTGTACATATACTTTGCAGTTTAATAAAAATCAGGACCTAGTGTTATGTTTCAAGTGGAGAAAAGTTTTCAGGAGCATGGTAATGAGGGTATACAAGGAACATCTGACACGTCACAATGTCAAGGTCTCACAGCAGCTTGATTTGCAGCTGAATGTTGATTGAAATCCATCTAAAAGAAATACATATAGATTTAAAATGGAGTAGAGAAACCACAAACATGAAAAAAATTCTATATACAAGCCACTTAGTTTAGGTTTCAATGCAAAAATAGAAATGTACTTTAATTGATTCTACTTCATTTCTTCCTGATACAAGATTGTACTTT